TGACCCTAACCCCATGCAAAATTCATGAGGATCGGACGATAATTGCTACATGTATATAATACCCTCAAAACGTATTGTTGCGGGGTGTAAAAATTTAGAAAAATTCACAATTCAAAAAAAGTCAAACTGAAAAAATCTCATGCGATAAAAAATATGACTGAAATTGAAAAAAAGGAACAAGAGATATTCACTTTTTTATTGGTATATTTTTCCGCGATTTTCTTAGATTTTATCCTTTTCTGACAAAAGACAATTCCGACTTGATGGGAATTGTGAAAATCGACCTAGCGTTTCTTGACTATAAGCAGAATAATTAAGATCTATTCTTTTACATATATATTATACCTATTTTGCTATATATCCGATTTCTTGGGTATCAGCATCACTTTTGTGGTCAGAAGTGACCTTGTCATGTATTTGTGATATGGCCGGAATTAAAAATATTCGCGATTTAGTAGAAATTTTCGTATTTTCTTACATAAAAATTAGGGTCTCTTTTACCGGCTAAATATTGTCCGATGAAGTCCTAAACTAAACATACGCGTCGATTGTTTCATAAATGTGGCCTATAGAGCAACTTCAAAATCAGAAAATTTTCGGTTTTTTGTTCATTCCAACACCTAAATATTTTGCATTCATCTCCAAAAACAACAGGGTTCTATTCTGACCCTAACCACCCCTACATTTTCAATTTCGTGAGGATCGCACTATAATTGCGACCTGTAGCTTGATTTCAAATTAACATGGACAGACGGATGGACGGACATACATAGCATGCAGGTCAAGTGCGAAGATGGGCTATATGGGTCCACGATATCGTATAGCCCCCATATTACGGCACCACCCATTTTCGGTGATTTTGATGATTTTAACCAAATTTTTCAATGTAATTGTCTGAAAATCCACACAAGGGCCTGGACACCCCCGACCCCGACCCGATATTCGGTATTTTGATGATTGTAGCCAAATTTTTCAATGGAATTGTCTTAAAATCCAACCCAGGAGTTCTTTCTTAGTACTTTATCCCCTGGAAGAAAATTGTCTATATAGGTCAACGATATCGCATAACCCCTATATAACGGTAACCCCCGATATACGGCATTTTGATGATTTTATCGATATTTTTTGCCAGAATTCTTACAAATTCCGTACTTAAAGCCCGTAATGGGTACTATAATAAAAGTTGCATAGCCTTAATATAGCGATACCCCCGATATTGTGTATTTTGATGATTTTAGGAACATAATATATCGGAATTGCTTCAAATTTCGCATTTGAAGCTCGTAATGGATACTACAACCTATGACCGAAAATTGTCTAAGCAGGTCCACGTCTACGTACAGGTCCCCTATAATAGTACCTTCATTTATTCGGTTTTTTGGTGATGTTAGCGACGTTATTCACCGGAATTGCTTCAAATTTCTTATTTAAAGTTCGTAATGGGTATTACAGCCGATGGCAAAAAATAACTTATGCGGAACCATATAGCCCGCATATAAATGTTTTCCTTTGAGCGGTATTTTTCGACGGAATTTTTTGGAAATTTTTCAAATTTCTTCAAAATTTTAAAGGGTTCGACCCGGCCGCACCTTGCTTGTTTATTTCACAATTCTCTCTTTAGAGTTATATAAAAAAAGAGAAAACGAATGAAACGCCGTTGATTTTTCCAAACATCCAAACCTAAATTTTCAATTATTTTATATTCTTCAGATTATTGGTAATTCAGAAATCATGCAGGTGTAATGTGCTTAGTGTGTTTGCTGGGATGCTATGTATTTGTGTGTTCAATTCATTTCAGTTGAAAAATGCATCGAATGGAAAACTTTTTTATTATTATTGGTTTGCATTTTCAGTTGTGTAAATAGCTGTGTAAATTGAATACACAAACTAAATGCATGGAATCCAATACGAGTAATTATAGTACATAATATAGGTAATGTGTGTGAGTGTGTGTGTGTGCCGAAAATTAAGTTATGCTTTACAAATGATTTGTCTTCAATTTTAATAAGCTGGATACAATTTGAATTCTCACAAAAATCAATCTAACCACGTGGCACAAAAAATAGACAGATTCTTATAAAAAAAAAAAAAAATTCAAATAACTAGATAACATTTAAGATGGCTAGACAAACTCAAGTCTGATGTCTGTTTCCCATTCAAAGCCATTATCAAGAAACTTGTTCGCCAAGTAACATTTATATTTTCACAATTATGCCGAAAAGGCAAATCAGCATGACCAACAGCAATTGTTTTCCGAATAAAAATGTCAAACTCTGGCTAATTTATGCAGAAAATTGTAGTATTGGTTTTGCCTACATGTTGTGGGTAGAAAAAAAGAACTCACTTCATGGCATGCTTCGTCGACATATTTCCCCCCACATCCATTGAATATTTATTGTAATTTCCTTGTAGTTCAATGCCGTCTGTTTGTCTTTTTAATTTTTGCATGGCCTACAAATTTATATGGAAAATAATTCTCTACGAATTGTTGTGGTTGTTTATTCCATTTGTGTGTCCCTTTTTTCATCAATAACTTAAGATAAACTTTATTGATTGAAAATTGTGTTCCATAAATTATTGGAATTCTATTAATAACACAACTTGGCTTTGATTATGAAAAATACTTGTTTTTTGCAAATTACTTATTCTTTGCTGATTTTCAAATGTCATGTGGCATTTGAATTTAAAGAAATTAAATGGTTTGCAAGTTTTTGAATGTCTTTAAAAATAAGTAACATTGCAAATAATATTTTTAATTATAATGTAATGTCATGAGACCACCCCAAAAATTGTAGTTCTATATATAATTTATCTTCTTCTATATCTATATATAAGAGAGAATTGTATGTTTATTTGTTTGCAATTTATAGACTCAAAAACTGCTGAACAGATTTTCCTCAATATGATCGTGTTTACTTGCCAAATAGGTCAGCTGAAAATGTGCACCTTCGGTTGGCCACCAGAACTCAAGCGCCGGCCATGGTGATGGCCGATGGTCGCTCTCCACTCGTATTAATTGACCGTTGCATCAGAATAAATGCCGAATATTATCACGAAAATATTCTGGAGGCACGCAAACATTTTGGCCGCAGACCTTGACATTCCAACAGGACTCAGCACCATCGCACTCAGCACGCGCCACCCAAGAATGGTACAAAAGGAGGTTCCTCGCTTCATTTCCAGCGCACAATGACCACCAATTCGTTGGACGTGTTTGGAGTATTTTGGAAAGCAAGGTCGGCACTAAAAAATACCAAAGTGTCGATCACCACAGCCAATCGCTTCGCCGGGAATGAGCCAGCGAGTAACGGTTTCATTGGCCGTTTGAAGACCATAATTCGTGTCAGAGGTGACCAATTCGAACAAATCTAAACTTATTCTAAAATTGATGCTATATCCGACATTTTGCTTTCATTCAATAAAATCTGAAAAAAATGTAAAAATTATGGCGATAGGCTTCGTTGCAGTTTTTTTTTTATCTCACCCTGTATATAAAAAGGAGTGAAATAACTGACTGACTGAGTAAGAATCAAAGCCCAGACGAAACGGCTGAAGTTAGAATCTTATAAGTTTGCTCGAGGGTCAGTCTTGGTGCATAGGTATTTGATAAGGCTGGGTTCTTTGAAATCCGTACCAAGACGGTACGCAAAGTACTATATTGCACTACAAATTGAATACTTTATTTTGGACAAACGGAATAACCTACAATTATGAAATTTGGAATGAGAGTCTGTGATGTACAGGACAGATGTACCAAAAGAGTTTTTGGAAATTTTGTAACTTCTAATATAGTTCCATTTGGTATTATGTGAACGGATCGAGCTAAAATCATGAAATTTGGAATAAGTATGAAGGTGGTTTTAGAACCGTATACAAAGTATATGAACTGTACTAAGTTTGCTATGGGGTGAACGGATGAAGCCAAAATTTTGAAATTTTGTCTTGATAAAGAGGTGGTTCTGGAAATGTGTACAACAAATACAAATGAAAAAGTAGAGCTGAAATCTGAAAATTTGACAATGAGCTCTATTGGTATTTGGAATTGAGATATGGAGGTGGTTTTGGATATGTCTACTATAATTTTTCGAAAAGTGCCAAGTGGTACTAAGTTGGGATATAAATGGGATATAGCTGAAATTCTGAAATTTGATAATTTGCTATTATTTTGGATTGAATTGGATGTGGGTCCATTTTTACTTATATCCTTATATCCTGAATATTTTTGAAGGTTTTTGGTGTAAACGGTAAAAATTTTCCAACTGTGCTTTCCTTGAATAAAAAAACTTGAATAATATATAAAACCTTCAAAGTCTTTAAATGAAATTGAAGGTGTATGAAGTTTCGATTAAAAAAGCTCCTCAAACTGAACATATTGTGAATTTTGAGTACTAAAAAGTCCTTAGTGTTATTGTTATAACGAACCTTAAATTTGAAGGTGGACTTTTTGCCGACAAAGTAGCGGGAACATGCTAGAGGTTTTAAAGGTACATTTTGTCACCAGGTACTACTTAAAAAGCGCCGGCATGCTCTTATATGTTTGTTTGGTTGCTGGCGTTGTTTTTATTTATGCTTCTTTGGTTCTAATACCAGTCCCGCTTTATTAGAATCGCAGACTTAAACTAATTTTATAAGTCAAGGGCTACCAACCACGTTCTATAAGTTTGTGTTACTATATTGTGGTATTGATAGTCAGCAATTAAACAGTTTCCTCTCCGCAACTTTAGGATTTGTAGTCAGACTTGTTCACTCTGTGGCGTCGTTACTCATTATTTGGTATATTGAAATTAATCATTAAGGAACAAATCATTATTTTTAGCCGGCTAAGAATGCGAAAATTATATAGTTTTCATTTTTTGGGATAATGTCAATGCAGAGGGTATGTAATAATTAAATCTATAATTTTTTTCAATATCTTTGTTCAAAATGAGCTTACATTGAGCTTTCATTATCAAAGTGTTCTTGGTTCAGTGTCTTATAACACTTTTTTATTTTCGATTTTGGAAAAAATATGTCAAAAGGTTTTCAAATATTCATTTTTTTATTATTCCCTTAAGTTTTGTATTGAAAAACGTTGTTATTTGTTTTGTCTTAAACTCGTGTTCAATATTCGCAATGATTGAAATTTTATCGTTGCCGCGAAGGCCAAAGGAACCCACCGTTGACATTACAAAATTGAAATTAAAATCCGGACTTCCTTTGAACAGTTTACCCGGATGGGAGCTAATACCGCTAAATTGTAAACTTCCAATGGTGAAATGTCCCGGCAATCAGGTGATATTTTCAATAAATAAAATCGGGAAGATAATCAAAAAGAAGGAAAGGTAACGTGTTGAAGGACATCAAAAACTTAAATTTTTTCTTAAAACTATAACCTCTAATACAATCTATACAGGCAAGAATTCAATGTGTCAACCAATGAAAGTTTGCCCGAATATAATCCCCTGCAGGATTCCCATTTGCGCTCATTTTATGCCATTGAACGAAATTTAAAACGTTTGAGGGAGAACGGGGAAATTACCGAGAATAATGATGTCATATGTAATTTGAAAGATTTTAATAAGTATCGCCAGGAACTACACAAGGCAAAGGTGTATTATATTCTGCAGGAAATGAATCGTATGGTAAGAATTCGGGTTTCATCTGATAAAAAACAAAACTTTTGTCAGAAATTTTTGAGACGCTGAAGAAAATGTAAACCAATCTGATCCTCAAATTCGGTCAACTAGCTACTCAACGACATTATAACCAAATACCCTGTTGATTTAGTGGGGATATTATACATACGTCGTAACTCCAATGTCACAGTATCCAAACCAATTATACTGTATAGTTCGATTAACATTTTGAGTTTAAACAGTTTCCGAGCTATAAACCCATATTGTAATTTAAAATATCAAAAGCTGTTTGCAAGCCAAATTTGCAAGTCAAAGTCTGTTCTAGGGCAGTCAGTTACTCCATTCTTGTTGATGAAAGTGAAAGTGATATCGCCTCGCATACTATGCTCCAAGACGATGTGAATGACCTGGAGTCAAATAGAGGATTATCGTAAATTATTCGACAACCTTTTATCCAGCTTTTTGAAAACATTAACATCGATAATCGGGTGCACTGTTTTGTATGACTTAGAATTTTGGATGACAAGAGGGATAGGTATAGGTCCATCATAAACTATAGGATAGTTTTTCTTTTTTTCGATATAGCATTCCTTGTCAAACTTAGAAGCTAGAGGTGTAGGCGGATTAGGACTAAAATGTATTTAATATTCTGTGAAGACCCTTGGCCAATACTAAATTGCCAACATTACCATTGAGATTCTGCATAGTTGCAAAGCTTTCGAACACAGAATTTCGAATAGGAATATGAGAAATGTGACATAGACTGCTTCTCTTCGTCATGACACTTTTGTTAAACTATGATTAGGGCATATCGCCTTTTTCCCAGAGTTCGGCGGGTATTCAGTCTTTGCCTAAAATTTACAAGGTGAGATAAAAAACTGCAATAAAGTCAAGCGCCATAATTTTTACATTTTTTTTATTCAATAAAAGCAAAAATTTCGGATATAGCATTAAATTTTAGAATAAGTTTAGATTTGTTCGAATTGGTCACTTTTGGCACGAATTATGGCCTTCAAACGACCAATGAAACCGTCACACGCTGCCCGAATGTTGCTCTGCGGTATTTTGGCCCATTCTCGGCGAAGCGCTTGCTTGAGGTGATGGATACTTTTAGTGCCAACCTTGCTTCCCAAAATACTCCAGACACAAAAGTTCAACGAATACGGAGATTTTGTGCGCTGGAAATGAAGCGAGGAACCTCATTTTGTAACCATTCTTGGGTGGCGAGTGCTGAGGGCGATGTTGCTGAGTCCTGTTGGAGTGTCCAAGGTCTGCGGCCAAAATGTTTGCGTGCCCAAGGCTTTAATACACCCTCCAGAATATTTTCGCGGAGGGCGACCATCGGCAGTTATGGCAGCCCACACCATCACCATGGCCGGCGCTTGAGTTCTGGTGGCTAACAGAAGGTGCACATTCTCAGCTGATCTCTTTGGCAAGTAAACACGATTAGTTTTGTAAGAAATTTTGGTTCGGCCACTAGCATGAGCTGTCACTGGAATAATTTTAACAGCTGTCGGACGAGTGGCTTAGAAATGGCAGCAGTCTGAAGTTGATTACAGTTTTTTCTACTTACCCTGTATATATCTGCGTACCCCTTCTGGTATCTCAATCACAAAGGGTCATAATTTTAAATATTTTTAGCTGCTTGCGGGACAAGTCAGCGATTCTTTTTAACATGCTTTATCTAAATATTTTTCACAACCATAAACCTGAGATTGAAATGGAAATTATGATTTTCCATAAATCGGATATAAATGTTCGATTTTCTTGTAATTTTGCCAATACCAATAATTTTATCTGTATTATATGAAGTATGAAAATCGAATGCTTGGGTCGACTATATCTGGCACATCACGCAAATTTTAATATTTTCTAAAAATTGTCACATATATTTATATCATATTTATTTAAGTCCGTACGAAATGGACAATATTGTCCGATTCCTGCGGTCAGAGTGGTCAACGATTTGAATAATCATAACAGAAGTCAAAATATACTTTTTTTTCTCACAGGATTTGGAGCAACGTGATCGTGTACTCATAAACAATGCCGAATACATAACCAGCTGTGATCATCGCAATCTGGCAGCACGTCAACACAGCTACAATGAAGTGCTGCAAAGAAAGAACACAGCAGATCAGCAGCGTTGGGAGCGTTTTAAGAAGTTGTGGAAATCCAAGCAGGATAAAATAAATTATATTAAAGCTACAAAAACCCTTGAATCAACAACGGCGGAACATCAAAAACTTCTGCGTCAATTGGATATGAAAAGGCATTGGGAACAATGTCATGATATTCAACGTAAAAAACTAATCAAATTCAAAAAACTTATTCAATTCAAAAGTGATCGCTTTCATAAGAATATCAAGCGTCTGCACACGGCCCGCACTCAACAAACCGGGGCGAAAGAAATGGATTTGTGGAAGCAACGTTTGGCAGAGCGTATACGAAATCAAGAGAAAATTCGTAGTATTTTGAGTGAAATTGAGCGGGAGAAACAATCCTATATTGAAGAACACAAAGCGAATTGCCGAGAGAAATGGCAAATGATACAAAAAGAGATCAGAAATCGTTCATTACACAATCGCCGGAAATTAAATTTGACCATGGGCAAGAAGGATGAAGGCAAGAATCAGAATTCGAAACTCACTTCAAATCCATCCTACTGTGGTGATTTTCAAGCAAGCTTTGATAAACTGCTCGATGAAGATGTTTGTAAGGCTTTAAATGCTGTCTTAGATATGGAGGCGAATTCGCAGGTGCCCTTTGAGGCCAATGATCCAATTTATAAGGCTGCCCAATTTATTATGCAACATATTTTAAAGAAACTCAAAAAAGACCTGTCTGGCGATAAGGAGGCTTTCGATAGCCTCTCATGTCGCATCGGGTGCTTTTTCGATGAGGCAAAGAAGTTTGTCATATTCGTAAGTATTTAACACATATTTTTTATTCAAAATTAATTTTTACATAATTTTCTCTAGAGATCGACACAAATCATTTCGGCAATACGCAAGGCTTTAGCGGAAGGTCAATGCCCCAATTCTAGCGTTTTTGGAAATGGTTCCATGTCTCGTCCCTTTCTCAAGCGTACATCTGGCGGCCGTGTTTCTTTTAATAATACGTCGAGTACCATTGGCATTTCTAGTTATGAAATTCACCCTTTAATTGAAGTTCGGGAAGTGGGTGATCGCCGACCAACGCCTGCGGTGAGTATTGATCGTTACGAAAAACATGTTTTTTTTTTGATACTTTTAAAATAAATTACTGACTGACTTAACGATTCATCATTGCCCAGGCGAAGCGTCTGAAGTTAGAATCTTTAATTTTTGGGTTTTTTTTTGACAGTTCCTACTAGAACGGTACAAAAAGTATTGAAAAGTACTAAATATGCTACCTTTTATTATTTGAGGAAGCAGTAGAGCTAGAACTCTTAAATTTGGAATGAGGATCACTGATGGAGTGTATGATAGATGCACCAAAGGGTTTTTGGTAATTCACACTATAAGCGTACGAACAGTTCTAAAATGTTATATATAGGTTATAGCTAAAACCTTGAAATTTCGAATGGCTATTGAGGTTGAGGAGAAGAGTCCATGTCAGGAGGTAGTTTTGGGAGTTTGTACTCATGTACTTTGTACTAAATTTTGTACAATTTGAATTTGGAGGACCGGATAGAACTAGAATCCTGAAATTTGAAATAAATATTACTGGCAAAATGTTTGCGTGCCAAAGGCTTAAATACACCCTCCAGAATATTTTCGCGATAATATTCGGCGTTTATTCTGACGCCACGGCCGTTTAATAAGGGGGGAGAGCGACCATCGGCTGTTATGGCGGCCCACACCATCACCATGGCCGGCGCTTGAGTTCTGGTGGCCAACCGAAGGTACACATTTTCAGCTGACCTCTTTGGCAAGTAAACACGATCATTTTGTTTGTTAACAAACTGCTGGACAACGCATGTTTTCTCATCGGAGGAAACCAAATTTGGCAGTTCACCACTTTCGGCCAAGCGAAGCAACTCTTTAGCTCTTTTGAGTCTAGTTTCTTTCTGTTGCGGTGTATGTTCTTGCACTTTTTAGAATTTCAATGGCTTTACCCCGAACTTATTTTTCAATATTTGCCGAATGGAATATTGCGATATGTTCAGTTCACGAGTCATGTTTCGGCCACTGCAATGCGGGTTTCGATCAAGTCGATTCTTCACTTTACAAACCATTTTTGCTGATGTTGCTGTTTTCTTCCGTCCACTTCCTTGACGTCGGGCTACCCTACCACTATCACTCCAACGAGCGACGATACGAGACGCAGAAGATTTATTTATATTTAAATGCGGGAGTGCTCTAACGATAGCCACTTGTGGTTTTCCAGCCAAATATAGAGAAATCACACTATCACGCTTGAATTCCATCACGAATAACTTTTTTTCTGGAAAATTCTGACCAAAATGCTTTGGAACGCTTGTAAACAATGTAATGAGCTGTCACTGGAATAAATTTAACAGCTGTCGGACGAGTGGCTTAAAAATGACAGAAGTCTGAAGTTGGTTGCAGTTTTTTCATCTCTCCATGAACATATGTTTCATCCGATTTTGTGTTTAATTCCCTAACATTTGTAATATACTCTCCACAAGGAATAATATTTGGTACCAGATATCAGATACAGCTCAGTAATACCTCTATCAAATTTCAGATTTGTATATAGATCCCATATATATGTCTTTATCCGACTTCAGTTTTATTGTGCACCAAATGCTAATTTCAGTCGAAATGAACTGAACGTTTTCAATTCCGACTGAATTCATCCCAGAAATAAGTACTTCAAAGTTGGTGAAAATCGGTTCAGATATAGCTATAGCTCCCATATATAGGTTTCTTTCGACTTGGGGTTTTAAGTCCATTGCATGTGTAATATACACTCCACAGCAACGACTTTTGGTACCAGAAAGCAGATACCGCTAAGAAATCAGTGCCTAAAATTTTGCCGAGATCGGTTCAGATTTGGATATAGCTCCCATATATATGTCTATCCGATTTCAGGTTATAGCTTTATCAAATTTCCGATTTGTATATAGCTCCCATATATATCTTAATCCAATATTACATTTTTTGTGCACCAAATGGCTAATTTCAGCCCAAATGAAATGATTGTTGTCAATTCCGACTGAGTTCAGTCCAGAAGTAAGTACTTCCAATTTTAGTGAAAATCGGTTCAGATATAGCTATAGCTCCCATATATATTTCATCCGATTTTGAGCTTTAAGTCCCCCACATGCGTAATATGCACTCCACAACAGCTCGAGAATACCTCTGCCAAATTTTATTGTGATCGGTTCAGATGTTTATGTAACTTTGATATACATCTTGTATATACATATATGTAATATCAGCCTAAATTGGACAGATTTCTTTATATACAACCGAATATTATAATTTGGTGGGTGAAACTCGTCCGGTATATCTATTGCTCCAATAAATATTTTTTAATATTTATTACGGGAGCGCTACTAAATGTGCATAGTTGTGCAGGGTGTCATAAAGTCAGCCTCGCCCGTCTTTTTACCTTTTCTTACTGGTTTTTGTATGCATCTTGGAAAGTAGTTAGTTTCAATTTTAAACTATTCATTCTGCAGGGTTCCTTGGCCTCAATTGTAGTCGACTCAACGGCCAGCTTGTTGGAAAAGACGCACACCAGTCACCTGTGTCGCAACGAATTGGTATTTATTGAACACTATTTGACGAAATTCAAACGAGATTTACTGGTTGGTATTGGTCGACGAGTATTTGCAGCCATACAGTGTCATTTCGAGAACAAGATTATGAATGTGCGACAAGAATTGTTGGGTATGTAACCGACAGGAAATGTAGTATTTTGAGAAATTATCCTAACAACATTTATCATCTGGTACAGATATTGATCGAAAATTCTTGGTAAAACAATCAACAAAATCCATACTGAGATATGCCATAAATCCACTTGACTTTGAATCGAATTTACGCCTTTGTATCAGTGCTCTGTCGAGTGACATCATTTGGTCATTGCAAAAGGTTTTGTTGAAAATGCCCACAGATCCAAGACGTCCCATCAAACCGCGGGCGAATTGTCAATGTATGCAAGAGAATCAAATGTAGTCATGTCCATTTGGAATTGTTTGCAATTTAGAAATTATTAATAAATTTGATATATTTAGATAGAATTATTGTACTTAAAGCTAATGGGCATAGAAGATATAAATCATTTTATACGTTCAAAATTATACCCCTTAAATATTGACATGTCGGGGTTTTTAGCATGCTACTTTAAAATGACCATAACTTCTTAAATATTGAAATTTTAGGCTTTACATTTACTTTATTTTAGAACTGTCATAACTCCTTAAATATTGATATTTCATGGTTTTTAGCATGATTTTCCATTCAGGTTTTAAAGATAGAAAATGGTATACTTTAAAACGGCCATAACTCCTTAAATATTGACATTTCGTGGTTTTTAGCATGCTTTTTCATTTAGTTCATTTTAAAACGGTCATAACTTTTTAAATATTGACATTTCGAGGTTTTTTGAATGCGCTGGAAAAATGGTATACTTTAAAATGGCCATAAGTTCTTAAATTGTTTAACTCTCATATTTATTCGGGGAATTTTTACCAGGTTTTCAAGGACCAAAAGAAATATAATTTAATTCATTTTCAATAACTTATTGACCAAAATTTTTTTATTTTGGTTTAGGGTATCTTTTGATTGCCTTCGGGTTAATAAAAAATCCAAACATCTCCCAGCTATGTGTTTTCTAATTTTTTTTAATTTCTGACTTGATCATATCTTCCGATTACCTTCGGGTTAATAAAAACATCCAAAGATCTCCCAGCTATGTTTTTTTAGTTTTTTTTTAATTTCTGACTTGAAAAAGTCGTTTAATGTCTGAAAATATTCTTTGATAAAATAGTAAATTTGTTGAAGATTTTTTTCAAGGACCTTTTGACTAAAATTGATTTGGGGCTGCCTTGTCAACTATAGTGACTTTTTGAATTCTCTGTCCAAAGTCATATATTATATATGGTTTCTGGGTTGCTTTGACTAAAATTTAATAACACCAATGTGTAATTTTTACATAAAATCGTGGAATCGTATAATTAAAAAAAAAAAAAAAAATAGACAATGAAAAGCAATTTATTTTTTTGAGGTCTCTTTTGACAACGTTGTTTGTTTTCCATTACATTTTTTCATTGTTCGGATCTTCTATTTTTTAAAGGCCTCGAGGACATTATAAGAAAATTTTTCTGATTAAAAATCATTTGTGTGTTTGTTTTTTTTTTTTCATTGAGTATATTTTTTAAAACCTCTATGTAAAAATATTTTTAAGAAGGGATTTCGGGATTTCTGACAAAAAATTTTGGATTAAAAAAAAGCAACTAAGGACATTTTGCCCATATGTTGTGAATCTATAATGACATTTCTAAGAATACTCTGAGCAATAATTGTATATTTTATAATGAAGATCCTGTTTCACATTTTTTTAAAGACTTTTTTTTTAAATTTGCATTTTTTAAATGTACTGAAGATTGCCAAAAATTGTAAACATTTTCAAGGAACACCTTTGAAGTTTTTAGAAATATTTTTTTAATGATTATCGTGTAAAATTCTTGGATTACAAAAAAAAAATTAAGAACCTCACTTCAAAAAAATCATGAATTTCGTGAAAAAAAAATTCTCAAGTCTTTGTGTTAAAAAGTCTTATTTCTGATGTTTTTCAGGCAATGCTTCCTAAAAATTTGTCGATTATTTATTTAAAGTATTGCCTAGATGCTAGGTCCATGTGTTTGTCATCAAACCGACTTGTACTTTCTACCTTGTTATACCCTCAGCCATATGGCTACAGACGGTATATATCATTTGATACGGTCAAAACGTGCCTAGTCGAAATAACGGTTTTAGACCCTAGGTCTCTTTGGACCTAATCCATTTCAGAACATTTGGAGTCGATCTAGCAATGCCCGTCCGTCTGTCTGGCTGGCTGGTGCGCACGATAACTCTCAAAGGGAGTATCCGATTTGGTCCAAACTTGGCACAACGTAATATTTTTGTCATGGAATATATCGGTCCACTCATTCTGGTAACTCCCTTATATATATATATATTTTCTGCACAGAAAGAGAATCGATAATCCGACTTTGTTCCAACTTTTCAAATCCTGATATTTACGTCAGTTCTAGGTCAGGTGCAAAAATGGATAATATCGGTCCACTCCATCAAGTACCTCCCCCACAAAGGTCGAAATTTTGAACATCCATCAAGCTCTTAAAACACTAAATTAACATCCGATTCCATTCAGACTTGGCACATCTCAATATTTTTATAAACGCAAAATCTTTTATAAAGATGGTACAGATCGGACCATTCGTTCTGGTACCGCCCACACAAAGGACCTAAGTTTTGAATAACCAAAACGAGCAAAGAATCCGAAATAAACATCCGGATCATATTACACACGTCTCATTATTTCACTCAAGATCTGGTGTGAAGATGGGATATATCGGTCCACTCCTTCTGGTACCTCCCCCACAAAGGGTAAAAATATTGAGTATCCATGAAGCTCAAAAACGCAAAATTAATACCGATTCTATTCAGACTTGTATGATATTGCCGATTGTCTTCAAATTTCACATATCCCAATAATTTTAGTAACCCAAGGTCCGGTGCCAAGATGAAATACATCGGTCCACTCCTTCTGGTACCTCCCCCACAAAATTTTAAGTATCCATGAAGCTCGTAAAACGCAAAATTAACATCCGATTCTATTCAGACTTGGAGCTTCTCAATATTTTCATCAACACAAAATCTGTTATAAAGATGGTAGAGATCGGACCATTTTTTCTGGTACCTCCCTACATAGGGTTCAAGATTTTTAAAAACAAAACGCTCAAGGAATTTGAAAAAAGCATACAAATGCATCCATCCATTTCCTCAAATTTCCCACATACAGACGTTATTTCTAGCACAAGATCTGTTTTGAAGATGATATACATCTGCCAACTTATAACTGTCATAACTTGCGAAACAAGTCGGCGATTCTTTACAACTTGCTATATCTAAATATTTCTCTTAACCAGTATTCTGATATGAATATGTAATTTGTCGGAATTTACGAATTCGATTAAAATTTGATACGAATGTCCGATTTCCGTCAAATTTTGCCAATTTATTTTATCTGTTAGATGAAGTATGAAAATGAAATACTTCGGTCCGCTATATCTGTTACCTGACGCATATTTCCATTTTCCGAAAATGTGCACATATCTCATATAAATTACAAGAAGTAGTCGATATAGTCCAAATCTTCCACGTTCATATCTCAAGGCTGAGGGTATACATCTGTCGGCAAAAGTGACTGAAACTATTTTACTTTTTTTTATTTTTATTCAAAATTTTCAACTATATCTTTGAAGATTACAAAATCTAGTAAAACCCATTTATTTAAACTTCGAGATATTATTTTTCCCCGAATTAGATCACAATAAATTCGGGGAAAAACAAACAACCTTCCCGCTCCCTCAAAATAGCTTTCCCCATAAATTAAAAAAAAACTACTTTTTTATATGTTTTCACCAAATCACTTTATTTGACGAAACCAGAATACATTACCTAAACATCTCCTTAATTATTTATTTCCCTCAACATCTTAAAATTAATGATTGAATTGCGTGTCTTATTTTCGTTTATGCTTAATCAACAACTATGTTTAATGGGTTTACCTGCCGATAATCTGTTAAAATGATGATACTTTTGGCATTGCAAAATTCTCTCTTATGGGTGTGGGGGTTTTTATTTATATTCTCTTGTCTCTAGGACGTGTCAAATCAATCCATGATAATGAAACCCAAGAATGTCCAAGAAAATATTTGCTGCTAATGTCGACGAGACATGCAAGCCCAACAGTAAGCTGAAAATAAATGTTGTTACTGCTCCTAATTGAGTTATAAATTAGACAACTATACGATTTTCTACGTTTACATATTATGTGCGAACTTAAATAATGATAAGTAATATTAATTAGTTAGTTTGCGAAAGGGAGGAAATTATATTATGATGTTAATTAAGGTTTTGCTTGTGAGATGGGAAAGGGGGAAATGTGAATGGGGTTGTCAACAACTTAGCCATAATAAAGTGAAATATCATGCATGTGTTAAATACTGCGTATGAGTGCTGCTGTGGCAATTTCAAATGTTGAGTATACGCCCAAGTGGCAAACGCAACTTTACGTTGACACTGATGTTAAGAATGATATACCATTGTCCAATGGTGAAACATTCTCTAATAAAACTTTTTTTTAATATACATGATAATCTACTTTGAAAACATATTTTTATACCCTACAACACTATGTGTTGGGGGTATTATAAGTTTGATTGGGCCAAAAAATTATGTAACACCACGAAATATTGGTTTCCCACATAGGAAAGTATATATGGATCTTCCTATATCGCCCAGCTGAGTCGACCTAGTCCGTCCGTCCGTCTGTCCATGTTAATTCGTAATCACGCTGCAGGTCAAAATTATGGACCACTCCTCACGAAATTGAAAATGGAGGTGGGGTTATTGTCAGAATAGAAGTCTATTGCTTCTGAAAGTGATCGCATAATATTTAGGGGTTGAAATGGACCAAAAACTGACAATTTTCCTGAGTTGCTCTACAGGTCGCAATTATAGACCAATCGTAGCGAAAGCTAGCATGATAGACCATAACATTTGTGTTAAATAAAAGTAACATTTTTAATTACGGCGAAATCACAAATAGACGAACATATCAATTCTGACCGTTACATAGATGCCGAAAGTAAATATATCGGATATATATAGCGAAATATATACAATGTCTATATAAAAAGGAAGGGGATTTTATCTAGAATGCTTATATCTCATCGATTTTGGCAAATTTTATCAATTCAGAATGCCCTCTTGGCATAAAAAGTATAAAATCTAAAAAAATCGCATAAAAATATGCCAAATATAGATTTTGTAGTATTTTGTGACGTTTCTTGTTTTGTTTTTTTCATATTTTTTTATCGCATCCAATTTTTTTAATTTGACTTATAATATTGAAGTGTATATTTTGTAATATTTTTTCACCTTACAACACAGGTTGAGGTTATTATATATGGATTGAAATTATCGCCCGATCTTCACGAAAATTTTCACA